TTGAGGATATTCAAAACAAATGTATTTATTGCTTATGTTATACGACTCTGTGTTGAAAACACATCTCAAAGTTCTGTAGATTGTTGCCTGGGGATCTAGATTACGTAGTGACGACACAAATACAATGTATCCGGCAGGAGAGCGTCAGGAAGCGTGTGTGTATATATACACCTCCTCACTGGTACATATCACACTCATGGTAAAGCTTTGAGCTGGTCTTTAGTTGGTATTACCTCCTCACTCTAGTCAAGTCGTTTCATGTCTGGTGGAAGAAACTATGAGAATATACACAGCATTCCTTTAAAGTAAGGTTAATATATATGCATAGCGGCACAAAAGCGAAGCAAGAAGGCGTACTCTTCCTACGAATATAATAAGTTATATATAGAAAGAAATTTCAAAATTCTAGCACGAAAGCGGACCCTATAGATTGATGTTCATCAGCAGAATGTCTCGAGGACAAGGAACTGAAGCAGATGGATCGTCTTCACCAATATCCTGCTTCCCTCTTTTGCTGTTTCTAATGGCGTTGACGCCGCTTCCCAGCAGCGCCTTCCTCGGGCGCGGCACACTACTGGAAACTCAAGACGATGTATTTGGAATCTACTGTGCGGAGTTTGATCGAGGAACCCGAGTGTGGCACCACAGAGAAATCACCAGAGAAGCCATCAGGAGAGCCGTAGTCAGATACTTCAAGGTAAGGCTTAAGAGTACTTAGTACATTGATGAGGACCGCAGCTGTGTTTGATGCAATTATGTGGAGTGCACATGTACGCTTGGATATTGCCATCGCTTGCCACAAGTGTACAACTTGGAATCTTGTGGGGCACAGGCGTACATATTACCTTCATATGAAACATAAATATTTACATTGGTTCCATGTAGAACGCAGTGTACATGCAGTCTGAATGGAGAGCACAAGTGTACATATTGGTTCCAATGAGACACAAGGTATAAAGGCAGCATAAGTGTGCATAATACTTCCTAAATTTAATGTTACATAAAATTAAATTCGTAGAGCCAGTCCTTCATAAAGGAAAGGAACGGGCGTTAAAGCGCCCTTACACGCCATTAGTGTCTGATATTGTATTTGTGCTCTATTCAGTTACAGTGCCGCAGAGAAGAGGTTACAGTGCTTCAGAGAAGAGGCTACAGTGATTCAAAGAGAACGTTATAGTGCTTTTGAAAAGAGAGTGCAGTGCCTTAGAGAGTGCAGTTAAAAGTTACATTCCTTTAGAAAACTTAGTTCATGTTAGAAAAGAAACTAAAAACTGTTTTTTTTTTTAATTGACGATTCTAAGCCGCGAATATAAATAAAAGATAAAAACAACATTAACAATAGTTTTTCTAAATATACCGGACATATCGACTAGTGGAAAACTAGAGTCAATAAACTCTGCCGTATTTTACAAAAGTATTTTTGGTTGTCCAAGCCTCTGGGATGAGGTGAAAAAAAAAAACACCCGTTATTATGTGAATAAAAATATTTTCTTAGAAACCACTCGAAAGTGGTTGGGTCAACAACTTTCACTGCTCTCTCTCATACCCAAGTCCTTCACCTGCCCATTCTTGCCATCGATCTTATACCATATCAAAAAGGAGGGGAGGCGAGGCGAGTTAAGTCGCAACTTGACGTACACAGCAGGTCGAGTCATGAACCACAAGTAAAAGGGTTCTTCACCTTACCTGGAGGTTACCTGGAGGTTATTCCCCGATCCCTTTCTTCTCCCTCTCTCTCTCTCTCTCTCTCTCTTTCTCTCTCTCCTCTACTACTCTCTCTTTTCCCCTTCCTTTCCTCCCTTCTCCTCCATTCTGCCTGTTTTTACAAATATATGTGCAAGCAAAGAGTGAGAAAAACGTAATTTTACCTTCAGTTCTTGGTCATTGCTCTTACACTCTGAGGAACTCATCTTCAACCATTCGTTGTTGAGTCTTTATATTTTAATTACTCTGAGAAAGAATAAGAAACAAAAAATTACGATTTCAGCTTCAAACTGCAAAAAATGATATCCTGACTTCAAACATATCGCATAAAAAACTTTATTTTACAGTTATCATGATGAGACATAACACCAAGTTAGGGTTTTTAGATAAATGAAATAAGTATGTCATGTTCATTACCGGGAGCTGCAGCTTGTAGAATATTAATCACGGAGTAGCTTGCGTCGACAGGAATATACAGCGAATAAATACATTTACATGCAAATAAGAACATAAGAATGGAGGTACACTGCAGCAGGCTTACTGGCCCATACTAAGTAGGTCCTAAACCATACCACGGAAGGGGATAGAACCCGCGATCAGAGAGTCTCAAAACTCTGATCGCGGGTTCTATCCCCGTCCGTGGTATGGTTTGTTTGCAATCGTGTCATTACGATTTCGTGAGTGAGTTAGGTAGGTCCTTCTAAAATCCAAACCCATTAACAAAAATATTTGCTCAGCTCATATTCAATGGAAGGATTTTTTAAATCAACCATTTACAGTTCATCGTTTTAATTTTATAGTAAACAAAGTCTGAAGTTGTACCTCTATTTATGCACACACACACACACACACACACACACACACACACACACACACACACACACACACACACACACACAGCCACAGAGTAGTCAGTAAGTGGAATAGTTTGGGAAGCGATGTAGTGGAGGCAGGATCCATACATAGCTTTAAGCAGAGGTATGATAAAGCTCACGGCTCAGGGAGAGTGACCTAGTAGCGATCAGTGAAGAGGCGGGGCCAGGAGCTCGGACTCGACCCCCGCAAAACCCTCAACTAGGTGGTACAACTAGTGATACACAACCACACACACACCCCACACACAACACACACCAACACACACACACACAGACACACACACCACACACCACGCACATTGCTTCCTTTTTGGTGACCCTGACAAAATTATCCCATCCTACAATTTAATGTTTCTTGAAGAACACTAACACACACACATCTGTATTAAAAGCACCAAGTGGTTATGCCACTTACCTTTATTACCCAACTTCCTCCCCCCACCCCCCCTTTTTTCCTAAATTTCCACCTTGCCCACCTTCTTACTTTCCCATTTTAAACCGAAGCTTGGTAATTCATGTCCTTCCACATACTGCTAGGTGAACGGGGGCAGAGCGTAAGCAAGCATTCCCAATTTTCCAACCCGTGCCGGGATCAACCCAGGGAACTAAGTATGTAGCTTTGTGCCCCGACCACGGGCACCATAAAGATATTTTATTGACGACGACCCCCACCATCACCACGCCCTACCCCCTAGCTACAAACAAGTATTTCAAACACAAACACTGACTTAATAAACCTTGAAAAAAGTAAGAACACACAATTTCCCATCCGCTAAATTGACTTCAGAAAGTCCTTAAAAAAAATTAAAAAATGCACTTGACTTCCACTTCCAAAAAAACCCCAGAACGGAGAATAAAAAAATTTTTTTTTTTTTATTTTCACAATCTACAAATGATTTTACAAACATAAGATTGTCTCTACAGCGGGATATCGTATAACACGCCATTCATTTCGTGTGTGTTTACTGCACCACCATGACGGAAGTAGGGGCGGGGGAGTCCAGTGTTACAGCAGGAACCAACACTGACTCGTGTTGGTATTTTCCAAATATTGGAACAAACGTTCTGTCTGCGATATCAGGGGTTTTTATGATCGATAAAGCCATGCCTCCCCTCTCTCTCTCTCTCTCTCCCCTCTCTCTTTCCATTCTCTCCCTCTCTCCTCTTTTCCCCTTCGTTCCCTAAAGGGGGAGAGAGGAGGTTCCTTCTGATCCACCAAGTTCTACAAGATTTTCAACAGGTTTACCGCTTGCCGATGGAGTTACGGTGTTCCGTAGCTCGATAGCAGCGCACTAGGACCGGGGATTGACCCCCGGGACGGCTAAAAAAATTTTTTAGGACATTTCACCCACAGTAAAAGGGGTGCCTGGGTATTAGTCACTGATGAGGGCGCACCTGGGAACAAAAATTAAAACCCAATTTGCCGAAATGCTCTGCATAACAAGTGCCTTTCTAATAGTAGTAGTCATTTTATGTCAAATTTGGCCTGTTACCTTTTACATGTACTTTTTGAAATAGATATTAAAAAAACAAACCAAATATGCTCCCTTTTTTTTTAAAGAGGAGGCTGGGGTTTGGTTACCTAGTTTTTTCCGTTTCCGATAAAGGAAAATCCTAGAGGGCATACCGAACTTCCACGAAAAACACCACAACGAAGCAAAAAACTCGGCAGAATGCAACATCCCCCCCAAAGAAAAACAGGGTTTTTCACTAGCCGTCAAGAGACGATACAATAAGTGCAGGGGGGCCCCGGGCTGTTCAACTGTTCCCAGCAAACAAAGGGGGATTTCCAATAAAACCCCCGGGGTCTTCAACTGGACGGCAAGCACCTAAAGTCGGTACCCGACCAGCCGGCTGTGGCTCTACATTGGATTGCGTGCAGCCAGCAGTAACAGCCTTTTTTGATCACTCTGAACCACCAGCACTGGTCCCGTTCCCACGTAAGAGGACGACTCCATTGCTGAGGGGCCATAATAAAGCCCGATTAACATAAAAAAAAAAAACTGATCCATCAAGGGGAAACCCGGTCACAGACCGGGCCGGGGGGCGTTGACCCCCGGAACTCTCTCCAGGTAAACTCCAGGTTTGATAACATTAATTTTTTTTTCAAAAATATTCGAATTTATTATTTACTTTCATGATTTTTTTTTATTGAGCATTACGATTTACGTGTCCTCCGTGTCTTGACTTACATGTCTTGTAGGTTTAGGTGTCCTACATTTCCTCTCGACTTAGCTGTCTCACATAAGTTTATTTAAGTACAAGTACACCTAAGTACAATAATCATACTACATAGTTTAAACTGACTTACTTCCACTGGTGTCCTCTAAGCTTGTGTATCCTCTTTATCTTCCTGGTCTACATGTCCTGCGTATCGTGCAGACATTTCTTGACGGTTCACATGTACTCCGTGTCTTACAGGAGGTGACGCCGGAAGAGGGAACATACAATCACCGGGATGGCATGACACTGGAGGAGGCATACGCTGAGTACTATGGTTCCTCGACGTCCTCGAAGCCCTTTCTCGACGCCGTGTCCACGCTGGTTGACTCCGTGGCTGAAGCTGACACGGGAGTCCTGGGCACCGATCCCAGGTAAGAAGTGAAGGATACTGAGCCAATTAAAAATGTAAGAGGGAGATCTAGTAGGATGAAGGAAGTCCGTAAGAAAATTAATATTTACAGTAGGTCTTTCTTGAGGACCTCGCAGCAGTAGATGGAGGAAACTCTTGTTAGCCACACTGAGGCAAGAAAGGCAAAATAATTTGTATCTCATATACAGCTGTATGTAATATTATTTGCACTTAACATGAGACGTTAAAAAAACCTTGCTTGTACCACAGGTGTGTTAACATTCTCTCAGCAGGTAATTACGGTATCTTTATCTGTAAAAAAAAAAAACGGCCGATATTACATGTGGACTAAAACACATCAGAATTAACACCATATTTCACGACTGTGAGGGTTGCGCGCGCACACACACACACACACACACACACACACACACACACACACACACAAGATGATGGATGTGGTACTGGAAAACCTCATGCATCAACATGTTAGAGACACTACCAGAGAGAGAGGAGAGGATGAACCAGCAAGACTGGACCTTGTATTCACCTTGAGTAGTTCTGACATCGAGGATATCATGTATGAAAGGCCCCTGGGAGCTAGTGATCATGTGGTTCTGTGCTTCGACTACATAGTTGAGTTCCAAGTGGAGAGAGTAGCAGGAATAGGTTGGGAAAAACCAAACTACAAAAGGGGGAACTACTCAGGCATGAGGAACTTCCTTCAAGACATTCAGTGGGAGAGGGAACTGACAGGAAAACCAGTACAAGAAATGATGGACTATGTGGCAACAAAATGCAAGGAGGCAGAGGAGAGGTTTGTTCCCAAGGGAAACATAAATAATGGGAAGAACAGAACGAGTCCTTGGTTCACCCAAAGGTGTAGGGAGGCAAAAACTAGGTGTACTAGAGAATGGAAAAGGTACAGAAGACAGAGAACTCAGGAAAATAAAGAGATTAGCCGAAGAGCCAGAAACGAATATGTACAGATAAGAAGGGAGGCTCAGCGACAATATGAAAATGACATAGCATCGAAAGTCAAGACTGACCCGAAGCTGTTGTACAGCCACATCAGGAGGAAAACAACAGTCAAGGACCAAGTAATCAGACAGAGGAAGGGTGATGGGGAATTCACAAGAAACGACCGGGAGGTATGTCAGGAGCTCAACACGAGATTTAAAGAAGCATTTACAGTGGAAACCAGTAGGACTCCAGGAAATCAGAACAGGGGGGTACACTAGCAAGCGCTGGATGAGGTACATATAACCAAGGAGGAGGTGAAGAAGCTGCTATGCGAACTTGACACCTCAAAGGCGGTGGGACCAGACAACATCTCTCCGTGGGCCCTTAAAGAGGGAGCAGAGACATTGTGTGTGCCATTAACAAAGATCTTCAACACATCATTTGAAACTGGGCAACTCCCTGAGGTATGGAAGATGGCAAATGTAGTCCCAATTTTTAAAAAGGGAGACAGACATAAGCACTAAACTACAGACCTGTATCACTAACGATGTGTAGTATGCAAGGTCATGGAGAAGATCATAGGAGGAGAGTGGTGGAGCACCTGGAAAGAACAAGTGTATAATTGACAACCAGCACGGTTTCAGGGAAGGAAAATCCTTGTGTCACAAACCTTCTAGAGTTTTATGACAAGGTGACAGAAGTAAGACAAGAGAGAGAGGGTGGATCGACTGCATTTTTCTGGACTGCAAGAAGGCCTTCGACACAGTTCCTCACAAGAGGTTACTGCAAAAGCTAGAGGATCAGGCACACATAACAGAAAGGCACTGCAATGGATCAGAGAATACCTGACAGGGAGGCAACAACGAGTCATGATAGTGACGAGGTGTCAGAGTGGGCGCCTGTGACAAGCGGGGATTCCACGGGTCAGTCCTAGGACCTGTGCTGTTCTTGGTATATGTGAACGACATAACGGAAGGGATAGACTCAGAAGTGTCCTTGTTTGCAGATGATGTGAAGTTAATGAGAAGAATCAAATCGGATGAGGATCAGGCAGGAGTACAAAGAGACCTGGACAGGCTACAAGCTGGTCCAGCAACTGGCTCCTTGAATTTAACTCCTGCCAAATGCAAAGTCATGAAGATTGGAGAAGGGCAAAGAAGACCGCAGACACAATATAGTTTAGATGGCCAAAGACTGCAAACCTCACTCAAGAAAAAAGATCTGGGGTGAGTATAACACCGAGCATATCTCCTGAGGCGCACATCAATCAGATAACTGCTGCAGCATACGGGCGCCTGGCAAACCTACGGATAGCGTTCCGATACCTCAGTAAGGATTCGTTCAAGACTCTGTATACCATTTACGTTAGGCCCATACTGGAGTATGCAGCACCAGTTTGGAATCCACACCTAGTCAAGCACGTCAAGAAATTAGAGGAAGTGCAATCAGGGAAGAGGCGGGGCCAGAAGCTATGAGTCGACCCCTGCAACCACAAATAGGTGAGTACAAATAGGTGAGTACACACACACACATACACACACACACACACACACACACACACACACACACACACACACACACACACACACACACACACTATTATTAACAAGTGTCTTTGACAATTAGCAACTAATACATCAGACCAAGTAATAAGTAATGACATCGTCATACCAGAGAAATTAATTTATTTAAATAACTTAAGATACTCATATAAACCAGTGATCTGTATATACAGTACATCGTCACATCTGACCTTTTAGTAGATAACTTGGCAAACATTGCACTTACAATAGTTTGTGAGAACTGTTTGCTAAGATGGGACACCAAATTTTGTTAGTACTCCCCATTAGCTTTATAACGCTTTGTTTTAGTTTTAATAACAGCATTTATTATCATTATTAGTATTTTATATATTTTTTATTACTATTAAAGCCAATAACTGATAAAACTCTTCACAGAGCGAAAAGTTGTTGTTCCAGTATGATCATCAGGGTCATAAGCATGACCGAATGATCATGATCATTCTGTCATGCTTATGACAGAATGATCATGATGATGCTTTCAACCAAGACTTGCAAGGATGAGCAGATTCCTCAGACCTTCTTTAAATTTGTCACCAATGGCCCATTTCAGCCAGCGTACAGTTAATTAGGTAACACGGGGTATTTGGGTTGGTCTTTGTAGGTACCACTTTAGAAGCGAGCGCTTCTCGGAGTCCCAGCAGATGCTGGAGGGCAGGTGGAGGAGGGCACTGAGGGCAGCCAACGCTGGAGACTATAGTGGTGCCCTCCACCTGCTGGGTCTCTCCCTAGCTGCCATCCAGGACTTCTACTCCTGCACCAACTGGGTTGAACTGGGAAACACAGACTTCAACCCTGATATTGGTAATGAGCTGTTGTGTTTGTGGTGATATTTTTTTTAGTGTGGCTTGTGTATTAGATTTGCAAGGGATAGATTACTTAATTTGATCTCTTTCTCTCTCTCTTTCTCTTCACTCTCTCTCTTTCTCTCTCACTCTCTCTCTCTCTCTCTCTCTCTCTCTCTCTCTCTCTCTCTCTCTCCTCTCTCTCCTCTCTCTCTCTCTCTCTCTCTCTCTCTCTTTTTTTTTACACAGGGTTTGACAAGGTTAAGGATCCCTAGCTTTATTGACAACTATATTACAGGTTAAGGATTCCTAACTTTATTGGCAAGCTAAGAGCTGTTACCTACATCAGCTCATTTGAAAGCATTTTTATTGTCTCTCTATCTATCAATCTATCAATCTCTTTCACGTTTACTTAGAAACCCATCTAGATGTAGTTGCTTTCACAAGTCAAAACTTTCCTTTTGTTTGTTATTACGTTCGCTGTTATTAATTAAGTCTGTCATAACTGTTATGTCGTCTTCTGTATGACACATTATAGCGCAGTTACATAATTTTAAGCAATCTAAACTTAAACTTCAAGATATCTCAAAATAAACCATACCCCCGGCCGGGATTGAACCCGCGGTCATAGAGTCTCAAAACTCCAGCCCGTCGCGTTAGCCACTAGACCAGCTAGCCACAATAAGATTCATCCAACTAGGTATATTTCTACACCATAGGAAAGTTAGCACAGGCACCTCTGTGACCACAAATGCAAGTTTTTACAGACGAATCTCCAGCTAGCGTGGCCGTGACGAACTCTAGCTCAAGTCCCTTCACTGTCGTCAACATGACTTAAGAAATCGTAATGACACGATTGCAAATAAACCCTTCCTATGGTGTAGAAATATACCTAGTTGGATGAATCTTATTGTGGCTAGCTGGTCTAGTGGCTAACGCGACGGGCTGGAGTTTTGAGACTCTATGACCGCGGGTTCAATCCCGGCCGGGGGTATGGTTTATTTGCAATCGTGTCATTACGATTTCTTAAGTCATCTCAAAATAAAGATTCAAAGAATAAGAACTGGAATCAGGAGGGTGTATATCCTACTTTTCTATTTACTCTCCTTCATGTGCTTATAAATTTCCATACTTTTTGCTCTGCCTCTATCACCTTATCTCCCCTTTTACTCTAATATGAAGAGATAAAATCTTCCCATCTTCCTGCATTACGCCTTATAAAACATATTACATAAACCCACTGACAATTTTATTTTAATTCAATTACGTAGAAAAAAAACTATTCCACTTTTTAAAACTGCCCGACTTGAAGGAAAAAATTTGATGGGTTTTACGTTTTCATAGGCCACTTGGATTTATCTCTATTTTGTTTTATAATATTCCTGGGGAGTTAACCTGTAAACACTGCAAAATACAAATGATTATGTCTACGACTTGGAGTGAAAATGTAGCTTCTAAATGTAACGTAGCAAAGTTATGATTGCCAATATAATATTTGAGCTTACAATGTTAAAAATCTATATTTTGTCAGAATTTATTGGGTTATCCTAGCCTAAACTCTACATAATTAAATAATTGTTAAATTTTAGACTTGTATAAATGACCTAAATAAAAACTTGTTAACTGAAATATGTGTCATTAAGTCCATTGGGTGGTAGAGGCTTGATCCTCTGTCTGAGGCCTGGTCTCTGACCAACAAGGCTGTTGGTGATCGCCAAAAAAATAAATTTAACAGATATACGGATACATCTGACTCGAAGCATTTGGATTCTAATCTACTAATTAGATTCCTTTTACAATAACAGAACAATATTATAGACCTTAATATTACCGCAGAAGGAAATACTCATTATGTAGTTCTTCTTCAGGTATCCCTGGCAAGGACATCAAGAACGTGGCGAGCATCAAGGAACGGACATGCAAGGACTGTCCAGAGGCCGCTGACGGCATAGGATCCTGCCACAATAATATACTCCAAGAAATTCTGGACTCCAAGAAACTCACATCTAGCTACAATGACGATTCCTACGTCAATAATAGGAAGGTGGAGAAGCCCAAAGACGTTGGTGAGTGACCACAGTTTCAAAGAGCGACGTAAATCATTAGGTATTCCCGAAGGGAACCTTGAAGTGGTTGTCAGATTTTTTCCACCAAGGTTTTCGTATACTGAACATCTTGAGATCATCACATCCCGTCGGCTTTAAAATGTCATTGTTAGTGTGCTGTAATTAGAAAAAGGTTTGTGTAGCTATTGGCATGTGTAGTTGCTTTTGGGTCAATTTTAACAGGTTAACATGGTTTCAAGTTGAAAAAATTCAGATTCATAAAGGATATAGGAAAGCACTGGTTTGGTAATAGAATTGTGGATGAGTGGAACAAACTCCCGAGTACAGTTATTCAGGCTAAAACGTTGTGTAGTTTTAAAAATAGATTAGATAAATACATGAGTGGGTGTGGGTGGGTGTGAATTGGACCTGACTAGCTTGTGCTGCTGGGTCTGGTGCAGTGCTCCATCCTTGAGTGGAGATGATCAGACTGGGTGGGTCATTGGGCTAATCCGGGGGGGGGGTCATTGGTCTAATCCGGGGGGACATGGACCTGCTTGGCATGGGTCAGTAGGCCTGTTGCAGTGTTCCTTCTTTCTTATGTTCTTATGTTCTTATTCCAGATAACCTGAGAAAACCTCGCTTCAACATTCAACATTGGTGTATCCTACTTAGAAAAATTATTCGAACCATTGTGGGAGTGTATAGGTGCCAATTTGCTAAATTTATTTTTAAAATAGTGTGGTATGATTTTCCGTGAAATACCTGAGAATGTCTCTTTTAAGCGTGCTCTTCAAAAACTGGTTTAGCATTTAAGAATAACGGAGTAAGTCATCTACGTGCAAATTTCCTAATTAACTAACATAGATCCGAATTTCGTGAAATTATTGGTTTCCACGTGATAAGTGGAGAATTTGGAGAATCTTCCAAAAGCACAGCATCATCAGCAAAAAGTAACTGTCAACCCATTTTGTATTTGATTTTCCGTAATTTAATCCCACCCTTCTGCCCAACACCCTAACATTTACTTCTTTTACACCCTCTTTATAAATATGTTAACCATGGTGACGTACTTTTACTTGGAAGTAATCTCCTTGTCTCCTACACACCCTAACCTGAGCCTCACTATCCTCATAAAAACTCTTTACAGCATTTAGTAACTTACTACCTATCCATATACTTGCAACATCTGCCACATTGCTCCCCTATCCACTCTGTCATATGCCTTTTCTAAATCCATAAATGCAATGAAAATTTCTCTACCTTTATCTAAATTCTGTTCACATATATGCTTCAGTGTAAACACTTGATCTACACATCTCATACCCATTCTAAAGCCTCCTTGCTCATCTGCAATCCTGCTCTCTGTCTTACCCCTAATTCTTTCAGTAATAACCCTACGATACACTTTACCTGGTATACTCAGTAAACTTCTTCCCCAATAATTTTTACAATCTCTTTATTTATAAATAAATATATTAAAGAAAATTCGGTTCGCCAGCAGTGTGCTGTCTTATTACCATATTCAATGTGATAAATACATAGTCGGAACAAACGGTAGCTATATTTCCCTGTCATATTTCCTCACGCAGGATGGTATGCATACATGAAGAAGTGAAATTTGAGTTGGGAGGTCATGTAGTGCTTGATGAGGAGGATGGAGATGAGGGGAAAGGAAAATGAAAAGATTAACCATATTATTTGCTTTCGTTTAAGACAAGTGCAGCCATGGAGGGCCTAGAGACAAGTCAGGGAGGGTGGGTGCACGAGGAGGGATTAACAAGGACCTGCCTACAGCCTGCTTCTCACCTCACCACTACCTTCACGAACAGGCCGCCCAGCAGGCCGTCAGGGTTAGTGATATTATGTTGTTGTGCACTTGCTGTGTTCAGCATTCCCCTCACGGAACGTTCCTTGAAGTTGGTGAGGGGCTCTTGATTTAGGGAATTGGATCTGTGCTCCAGTTCCCCGAATTAAGCCTGAATGCCTTCCACATCCCCCCAGGCGCTGTATAATCCTACGGGTTTAGCGCTTCCCCTTGATAATAATAATAATAATAATAATAATGTGTTCAGCATTTAAAACAAAGTATTTCAGAACCATATCTAAGGTTATAATCTGAAAAAAATTATTGCTGTGAAAACTAATTCACAATAGCTTTTCTTGTTCGTTGTTGGTGGTACAGTTTTTTATAATATTCAAGCAAGTAATTTCAGCTTCCGAGTTAGTAATTTAGAGTTATGAGTTCAGTTTAGAAATCACCCCCCCCCCTCTAAAAAAAACATTCGCATGTTTTGCTAGGTATGATTTGTTATGCATTTTTAAATTATTCATCTAGTTTCATAAACATTTTTATATTCTTGAATTTAGAGGTGGGAAAGTCAGGCTGAAAAGCCCTGTAGGGTGATGTGTTCTTCCGTCTATCAGTGTTAATTGACTTATTGCATCACATATTTTAAATCTTGTGTGTGTGTTGAACTGTGAAATTACGAAAGCTGGTCTTGCAGCACGGATAACATAACTGATGACATCGTGTTCACGATACCGAGGACGACGGTACGTAAGCTGAAAGTGTAAATATGCCAGATGGAGTCTGTATAATTAATATGCCAGATGGAGTCTGTATAATTAATCTGCCAGATGGAGTCTGTATAATTAATCTGCCAGATGGAGTCTGTATAAGGAAGTTAATGAGGAACATCTTAAAACATAGTTCATTGGTCAGGACTGGGAGGAATACTGTAATACAATTACTGTACAGGAAGAGACAGGTATTCTTCGAAGTTAAAGAAAAGAAACAGTGAAACGGGACCCATGGCAAATGTTTGCACTTGTGCTGGAAGTTTCACTGTACGCGTGACTGCAAGACCATGAAAGGTAAGAAGTGAACTTAAGAGCAGAGCTTGAGAATACATGTTTGCAGAATTGTTCCGGGAGTAGAAATGGATGAGCTGCCAATGAAAAGCTTTTCAGTGGGTATTCAGAGAACTAACTCCATTGGGCTAAAAGGGCTAATAACTTAGGGCAAAGACTTGCCTTCAAAGAAGAGTCTCATATAACTACAAAAAAAAAAATCCGAAATCCACAGAATTTAGGTGGAGTGCAAGACAGGTTGGACGGACTTTCCTAGAGTCGCCTCCCCAGGAAGCGAATATTCTCTGGTAACCCATCCTCCTAATAACTTTGTCACATTATCACATAGGGTTTGCAGCCCAATTTTAGTTAGGCTGAGTTAGGTTACAAAGAAAAACTATAAATATACGATAAAAGACGATGAAAATAAAGTCTGTCGCGCAAACAGGAAGCAGGCACCTAAGATTCGTGTAATTATATCATATTTTAACTGTTCATGGAGCCGTCAACAGCCACCCATTTGACTGTTTGTACAACAGTGCCATAACTGTGTGTAGGAGGCCGGGCTGTATTTGGAGTGCTGCGCTGTATGACCCTTGTAGGTTTAGAGCTTCTTTTTTATAATAATAATAATAATAATAATAATAATAATAATAATAATAATAATGTATCTGGAGTGTTAAGCAATAAGGATGTATTGACCTTAGTTGGAGAAGCACCTTAAATCATATGAATGTTTCCTATGTTAGGTAAAAAGACACAAGTCCATCTAATGTGACATTTCATTGTGGAAACGTTTCACTCTCCAGGAGCTTTATCAAGCCGCTGTTAAAGCTCCTGGAGAGCGAAACGTTGCCACAATAAAATGTCACTTTAGTTGCACTTGTGTCCTTTTAACTAACATATTGTCGGTAATTCTACCAACATTATTAAAATAATGTTTAATGTTGAAAGATAATATAATACTAGTAAAAAAAAATTTCCATTAGATTTCAAAGCTCTGAGCAAAGCTTTCAGTTGCTGCTTCGAGGTCATTGTTAACTACAACTTGCCGATATTGTTATACTCATTCCAGTTGCTGCTTCGAGGTCATTGTTAACTACAACTTGCCGATATTGTTATACTCATTCCAGTTACAATTCTATACATGCAAATACACCATAACTAAACTCCAAAAGTAAGGACACAAACCTTACAGGCGAGTGAGTATTACATAAATCTGATGCGTGGAGGTGTGGGAGATACAACCTTCAGCCGTCTGCTGGGACTGCACCCAACACCCGCTCTGGTCATCGTCGTGGACACCACTGAGTCTATGGACGAGGAACTTGCTGTCCTTACTCACTCTATAAGTCGTCTGGTGAGGCAACACGACTCTGCCACCTACCCCCCTGCGGAGTACATCCTCGTCCCCTTCGGTGATCCATGTAAGATTTATATGTATGTCTTGTGTACCTAGGTAAGAATGGATTTAAAAAAAAACATGGTAATGGTGGACGGAAAGTCAGTGTATATAACGCTACCCAAGTGTTAAGAAGGCCTAACATATATTATGATGACTGAACATGGCATATTTATTATAAAGAGCAATCACCCCTTACTCACATGGGTTTAGCGGCTTTTAAATATAATGATAATTATAACCATTAAGAATGCATAATGAAGATGTAATATAGTCCAAGAGTTACCAGATGACCAAAAGAACTAGTTGCAGGTAATCGTATGTTAATGACCCGCATCAGGAAACACCTGTCCTGTTTCCTGACAAACCTTACCTAACCTAAGAGTTATGAAAAGGCAATTGATTCTCTATATGTTAATTACAAAGGCGCCAGGTATCAGTCAAAGGATTTATAGCAAGCATTCAATGGCATTGTTACAAAGAATTTGCAACGTAAGTAAGACTGATATGTGTTGTAAATAATTAAATTTATGGTACAAATTTTAACAAGATAGTCCCTTTCATGTAAGAGGGGGGGATCTTGATACTGCCTCAGGGCTCTTGATTCAAGAAATTAGAGTTAACCATCCCTTCCTTGCCTCAAACCAGATTACTTACCTTTTCTCAAGCGTTGTATGATTCTTACGGTTTTAGAGCTTTTAAATGGATATATATTTTTAGTTATTTTGTTGGGTTTTAGATCTTTCAACTGCACGAGGGTCATCATAGTCAGATTGCCTGTGCACTTGCTTTCAAGAATTCTTTAATACCTAGAATAGAGACGGAAGCAAACTTGCAATGTTAACGGATGAGAGATAATTTTGTGTATATACACAGAGCTTCACACCTCTCGATGTATATACACTGAGCGATAAATGCATCTGTTAGTGTACATACACCGACAGGTAAACAAACTTTACTGTATCTATACTAAGATATACACAGCCCCTGAATATACGCCGAGACATACATCTCTAAGTGTACATACACTGTGTTCTCTTTTTTTAGTATTGCGTACAAGATTTACATGATGTATATTAATTATAGTATAATTAGAAGCATGAAATGGTGTCCTAGACAAGCTAAATATTTCCTAACAACACGTAATATGCTTACATGTCTATTTTATGAGACAAAATAACTGAATTGCTTCAAATATTCCATTATAAAATAACTTGTGTTAAACATGATTTCACGAAGACTTAAGACTGTTAAGTGTATAAGTGTGTGTGTGTGTGTGTGTGTGTGTGTGTGTGTGTGTGTGTGTGTGTGTGTGTGTGTGTGTGTGTGTGTGCATGTGTGTGTGTATACTCACCTAATTGTACTCACCTAATTGTGGTTGCAGGGGTCGAGACTCAGCTCCTGGCCCCGCCTCTTCACTGATCGCTACTGGGTCCTCTCTCTCTGCTTCCTGAGCTGTATCATACCTCTTCTTAAAACTATGTATGGTTCCTGCCTCCACTACTTCACTTGCTAGGCTATTCCACTTGCTGACAACTCTGAGTGAAGAAATACTTCCTAACGTCCCTGTGACTCGTCTGAGTCTTCAGCTTCCAGTTGTGACCCCTTGTCCCTGTGTCACCTCTCTGGAACATCCTATCTCTGTCCACCTTGTCTATTCCCCGCAGTATCTTGTATGTCGTTATCATGTCTCCCCTGACCCTTCTGTCCTCCAGTGTCGTCAGTCCGATTTCCCTTAACCTTTCCTCGTACGACATTCCCTTGAGCTCTGGGACTAGCCTTGTTGCAAACCTTTGTACTTTCTCTAACTTCTTGACGTGCTTGACCAGGTGTGGGTTCCAGACTGGTGCTGCATACTCCAGTATGGGCCTAACATACACAGTGTACAGTGTCTTGAACGATTCCTTATTAAGGTATCGGAACGCTATTCTCAGGTTTGCCAGGCGCCCGTATGCTGCAGCGGTTATTTGGTTGATGTGTGCCTCCGGTGATGTGCTCGGTGTTATGGTCACCCCAAGGTCTTTCTCCCTGAGTGAGGTCTGTAGTCTTTGTCCACCTAGCCTATACTCTGTCTGCGGTCTTCTTTGCCCATCCCCAATCTTCATGACTTTGCATTTGGCTGGATTGAATTCGAGAAGCCAGTTACTGGACCACATGTCCAGCCTGTTCAGGTCTCTTTGCAGTCCTGCCTCATCCTCGTCCGATTTAATTCTTCTCATCAACTTCACGTCATCTGCGAACAGGGACACTTCAGAGTCTATTCCTTCCATCATGTCGTTCACATATATCAAAAATAGCACTGGTCCTAGAACTGACCCCTGTGGGACCCCGCTCGTAAAAGGCGCCCACTGTGATACCCTTCACGTCCAGACTCGTTGCTGCCTCCCTGTCAGGTATTCCCTTACCATTGCGTCCCTCCCTTTTACATGCGCCTGACCTTCGCTTCTGCACTAATCTCTTGTGGGGAACTATTCGAAGGCCTTCCTGCATTGGGAAAAACGCAATCTACCCACCCCTCTCCTGTGTCTTACTTCTGTTACCTTGTCAAAAACCCCAGGAGGTTTTGATACAAATTTGCCTTCCATGAACCATGCGGTTTTCATTTATTCTTTTCCTTTCCTTTCTCCTCCTGATAATTTCCTGACTTTGCCACAAAACATGTCAAGACACAGGCTGTAGTTTGTGCCTCGTTTTGTTCCTTTTCTTAAATAGGGGACTACATACTGTTTTCCCATTTTCAGGTAGTTCCCCAGTTTCAAGGGATGTTTGAAGGTTTGGTTAGAGGCACGCACAGCATCCTGCCCCTTTCTCTAAGGCCCCAGGGGAATGCCCGGGTCCCATCGCCTTTGAGGTGTAAAGGCCCTTTAAGGTTTCTTCCCTCCCCCTCATTGTTCGTATTCATCCAACCTTTTTGGGTTTTTCCCTCTTGATTTCCCCTTGTGGTCTTCCCACCCTTTTCCTTCTCTACGTAAAAATTCCCTTTTAAATCCCCTTTCAGCCCCCTCACATACCCCCGATTTTTTCTTGTGATTTCTCCACCTTCTGTTTTTTAATCTGTCACCTGGTTTTGAATGTTGTCTTCCCCCGATGTGGCATAAACAGTTTGGGTCAGTTTTGATTCCGATGCTATGTCATTTTTTACGTCCGGGCCCCCCTCCTTACCCGTGCGTTTCTCATTCTGGCTCGCGACTGATCTCCCTATTTTCGTGTGTTCTTGCCTTCGTACTTTTTCCATTCTCTATTGCCTTTTGTTTTTGGTCCTTTCACCGTCGGGTAAACCAGGGGCTGTTATGGGCTTCCCGTTGTTACTGTTTGCCCCTTGGGGAAAAAACCTTTCCCCTCCTCCCTTTTTTTGTTGTTACTATTCCCTCTTTTCATTTATGGCTTTTCCGCCCGTTCTCTTCCCCCCGGACCTCCCCCAGGAAGTTCCAAAACCCATGTAGTCCCCTCTTTTTATAGTAGGGTTTCCCCCTTAAATCCTGTTTTCTCTCTACTTGCGCTTACCTTTTTATTCAAAAACACAGAACCCCGTGTCCTAGCTCCTAGGGGACTCTCATACTTGATGTCCTCAAAAACGAGCTGCCCAGGGGGGAAACAAGGTCCAATCTTGCGGTTCACCTCCCCCCTACTTGGGAGGTCCTTTAAAATGTTTTGGGGCATGAGGTTTTCCCGCACCACTCCAACATCTTGGCTCTCCATGTTTCGGGACCCCCTGTGGCCAGGTTTTCCCAGTCAATCTCCCTGTGGTTGAAATCCCCCTAACCACAACTTTGCTTGCTGGAGTGAGCTTTTCTTGCCCTCAGCAAGTGTGCCACCTTTGCTCTGTTGCTCTTTAAATACCCTCTCTTGGCCTCCTGCAGTTCTGGGGTGGATATGCATCACTGCTTGACCACTTTGTGTTCCCCAGACTGAGTGTACCTGCTATGTAGTCTTTTTCTCCCGTCTCCTTTTTTCCTTTTTCCCTTTTTCCCGAATTTCCACTGTTTTTTTACGACAGAGCAACCCCACCTCCCCCCTCCCCCTTCTATCTTTCCTCATGACTGTATCCGGTGGGAAATTGCATCGTTTTTTGGCTCCATGATTTTGTTTCTGTAACTGCTATGTGTCGGGGGACTTTCATTGATTTTTCTTGCCATTCCTCATTTTATCGTTAATCCATCTGCATTTTTACCAAACCTTAATTCGTTTAATACTGTAATTTGGGGTGGGGGGGTGGAAACAGGGGGTGGGTGGTGGGGTTTGGGTTTTTGGTTTTTTCATTTCCCTTTGGGGGTGTCGTGGCGGATCCTTCTGCGGGTGTTTCTGGGGGGGCGCTTGTCCTTCCTTTTTATCCGGATTTTTCTGCTCTTTTTTTTTCTTTTCCTCCCTTTTCCCTTTCGTTTTTGAACTCTTTTTTTCATTGTCTTCCTTGTCCTATTTTTCTGTCTCGACGGGGACACACTCCGGAACTCCTGCTTCCTCTCGGGCCGTGCTTTTCCTGGGGACAGGGTTCGGGTTGTTCTGCCTTGAAAATTACTTTGAGAGGCCGATTCTTTTTTTTGGGGGGGAACCACCCAATTCTCCAAAAATTTGCCACCTGGGTCATGCCCCCCTCGCCTACCCCTTTCATAATCTTAAATGGGTGTTTTCTCCCCCGCTTTTTTTCATCATAAGTTTCCCCTTTAGCTTCGTTACCCAAGAAAACAAACTTTCCCTTTCCACCTCCCACTGTGACCCCATTGCTCCTCTGTTTTTTATTTCCCTTCCCCGTGGAGGTTCCCCCTTTCATCCCTTCCCTAGTTATTCCCCCTTCTTCTTGGTTTTTTTCCCTTCCCGCTAAACCCGCCCTGGCCCCCCAAAGGGTTTGGTAAGGTCCTGCACATGTCCTATTTTCCCTTTAAGTCTTCCAACCTTATTCGTCCCAGGTCTCCCTTTTTTGTTTTGGCCCCCTGTGGTTTGACAGGACCTCTGCATACAGTTTAGTTTCCATGCTCCCTTTAGACCTGTTGTCTGTGTTTATGTAGCCATTTCCCTGCACTTTGTAAAATCTTTTTCCTTGCGTTTCAGCGTCTCAGCCCTCTTCTAATCTCTCTATCTTATTTTTGCTGATGGCCCGTTGCTTCCCCCTTGCCCTTTTGGGGCAACCTCTTTCCATCTTTTTTTCCGCTCACTAGTCCCTCCTTCCCCCGTCTTCCTCCCTTTTTTTAGCTCTACCCCCCATTCCTCCCCCCCAGTTCGTCCCTTTGGGGCCCTTGTCCCATCCTGGTTAGGGGGGGGAATAGATGGTTAGGAGAGGGGGTGGGTGGTTGTGGGGGGGGGGAGGTTTTTTTTTTTTTTTTTTTTTAAAAATTGGTTTTTTTTTTTTTTTAAATTTTTTTTTTTTTTTTTTTTTTTTTTTTTTTTTTTTTATTTAAAAATTTAAATTTTTTTTTGTAAGGTTTTTTTTAAATGGGGAGGGTGGTTGGGTGGGTGGTATGGGGGGGGGTGTTTTGGGGGGTGTTGGGTTGGTTGGGGGGTTGTGGGTTGGGGGGGGTGTGTGGGTTTTGGTTGGGGGGTGGTGTTTGGGGGTGGGTGTGTTTGGGTGTGTGTGTGGTGGTGTTTGGGGGTGTTTGTGTTTGTGTGGGTTTGTGTTTTTTTGTGTGTGTGTGTGTTTTGTGGTGTGTGGGTTGGTTGTGTGTTTTTGTGTGTGTGTGTTGTGTTGTTGGGGGGGGGTGGGGGTAGGTTTTTGTGGTTGAAAATCCCGGGGTGGTTTTTTGTTTTTTTTTCCCATTATCTTTTTTTTACTAATTGCCCTTTTTCCCCGGATTTCGTTTAATTTTTGCTGGGTTTTATCATTTTCCTTTTTTACATGAAGAGGGCTTCCCAGTTCCTAAGTTTCTTCTGCTAATAACACCCGGGATAAAACTGCCTGTGTGCGTGTGTGCATTTTTGTGGTGTGTGTGTGTGTGTAGTGTGTGGTGTGTGTGAGAGAGAATCTTGTGCGGGTTAATGACGCCCGCAATTCTTGTGACCCACACAACCCCCGGGACCCACCCGCACCGCTTACAATGTTTCCCTTAAAACTTGTCCCCCTACCTTTTTCAACTAGTCAACACTATATTCTCTATGTCTATGCTATTTCTATTCTAATTCTGGTAATAGCTTGCAGGAGTGAGTGACCAGTATCAAACAGTATGCAAGGCCAGCCAGGGCCGTCAACATGCAAACCACAAATAGGCGAATAAACTTGCGGTGACAGTTGCCAGCTGCTGATGACGAAGTCGTCGTCGTAGGCCTTAAATCCCTATTTTGGAGATCCTTCACCCGTGATGATTATAACCATATATTCTCATACACACAAAGTGGGAGTTGTCACAGCTGCTCTTTGCTGATGACACTGTGCTCTTGGGAGATTCTGAAGAGAAGTTGCAGAGATTGCTGGATGAATTTGGTAGGGTGTGCAAAAGAAGAAAATTAAAGGTGAATACAGGAAAGAGTAAGGTTATGAGGATAACAAAAAGATTAGGTGATGAAAGATTGAATATCAGATTGGAGGGAGAGAGTATGGAGGAGGTGAACGTATTCAGATATTTGGGAGTGGACGTGTCAGCGGATGGGTCTATGAAAGATGAGGTGAATCATAGAATTGATGAGGGAAAAAGAGTGAGTGGTGCACTTAGGAGTCTGTGGAGACAAAGAACTTTGTCCTTGGAGGCAAAGAGGGGAATGTATGAGAGTATAGTTTTACCAACGCTCTTATATGGGTGTGAAGCGTGGGTGATGAATGTTGCAGCGAGGAGAAGGCTGGAGGCAGTGGAGATGTCGTGTCTGAGGGCAATGTGTGGTGTGAATATAATGCAGAGAATTCGTAGTTTGGAAGTTAGGAGGAGGTGCGGGATTACCAAAACTGTTGTCCAGAGGGCTGAGGGAAGGGTTGTTGAGGTGGTTCGGACATGTAGAGAGAATGGAGCGAAACAGAATGACTTCAAGAGTGTATCAGTCTGTAGTGGAAGGAAGGCGGGGTAGGGGTCGGCCTAGGAAGGGTTGGAGGGAGGGGGTAAAGGAGGTTTTGTGTGCGAGGGGCTTGGACTTCCAGCAGGTATGCGTGAGCGTGTTTGATAGGAGTGAATGGAGACAAATGGTTTTTAATACTTGACGTGCTGTTGGAGTGTGAGCAAAGTAACATTTATGAAGGGATTCAGGGAAACCGGCAGGCCGGACTTGAGTCCTGGAGATGGGAAGTACAGTGCCTGCACTCTGAAGGAGGGGTGTTAATGTTGCAGTTTAAAAACTGTAGTGTAAAGCACCCTTCTGGCAAGACAGTGATGGAGTGAATGATGGTGAAAGTTTTTCTTTTTCGGGCCACCCTGCCTTGGTGGGAATCGGCCAGTGTGATAATAACAATTCTCATACATTCCGCTTCCTCACGCGATTTCACTCTTCACTGATGATAGTATACACTTCACATTATATACACTTCACTTTATATGTATAATGGCACACAACTTGTCGTGACGTCACTTCTTCAGGCCTACCGCTACCAATGTGGCATCAGCGCCTAAGACCCCCAACGGTTTGCGCTTTGAAATATTATGATTTCAGCTTTCCTCTCACTTTCTTTAACTAATAACTTTAATTATCACTCGTAGTATTGTTCACTGACGTTCCACTACCACTGATTACTGCTAACTGTTATTGCACGCCATACAACGCTAAGGATCTCGGAGCCTTGTTACCCACGTCTTCACCCCACGGACCCCACCGCACGTGTGTGTGTGTGTGTGTGTGTGTGTGTGTGTGTGTGTGTGTGTTGTGTGTGTGTGTGTGTGTGTGTGTGTGTGTACTTACCTATATGTGGTTGCAGGAGTCGGGTCACGGCTCCTGTGTGTACTCGCCTATTTGTGCTTGCAAGTGTCGAGTCATAGCGCCTGGCCCTGTGTGTGTGTGTTTTTGTGTATGTGTTCTAGATACCAACTGTCAGGGGTATCGATAGATACTTAACTTAGTGTGTGTTAGTTACCATTCATCACAGGCACTTGTCGATAGACACTTTGTGTGTGTGTATGTGTGTGTGTGTGTGTGTGTCTGTCTGTCTGTCTGTGCGTGCGCGCGTGCGTGCGTGCATGTGTTTGATGTGCTAAACGCGTGTTGGTAATTCGGCACAACGAGGGGTTTCCGAGGCTCGATCCTCCGTTCGCATATAGCTGTCCCGGTCTTTGATCCGTCTGGGTCTTACTAATGACCGTTGTACCTTGAGGTGGTATGAGCAAAGGCGTCTTAACTCACACTTACACTTAAGAACATAAGAGGGAGGCACACTGCAGCAGGCCTACTGGCCCATGGTAGGCAGGTCGTTCTCAAACCCAAACCCACTAACAAAAATATTCGTCCAAACTAAGTGTCTATCCCCTGACACACTATTCATGCTGTTGGAAAGCTCTTATTCCAAGGAATTGGAGCTCCACTCCCCTTCGTATCAAATATGTTTACCTCCCATTCCCCAGGCACTGTATAACCCTTGTAGATTTAGATCTTATGAGTATTTAATTTTTCTCATGGGGAGACGTCAGCAGAATTAGCGGTAAATAAGTGGAAAGTAAGAATAGCTGGAATTCCTTGGATCAAGAGCCCTTCATCGGCATTAAGGTCACCTAGTCACCAAGTATATAAAAACTTCTCTTTGCAGCCTATGGTCCAGTAATTCGCTCTCTGCAACCAGAGGACATCTACACTGCCTTGACTAAACTGACAGCCGCCAAAGGAGGAGATGAGGCAGAGGTAGGTCATCACCGCTACTAGGGGTAATCAGAGATCACCAGGTCCCATCACCCTCCAGCCGGAGGGCCCAAGAACGAAGACAGAAGAAAGAAGATGAACGACACTCCCAACCAGGGGGCCACCGCCGGGTCGCCATCTGGAGAAGACCCGGGCCGGAAGTACCGGCAAATCCCTAATGAATGAATGAACCAGGTCCCAGGTCCCTAAAGAGTCGCTAGGTGAGTTGGCAGGGATCACCTGCTAACCCACCTGCCGCACGTGGGTTACTGGATGGGTCCCCGGGTTGATCCCTAGGGGCTTACCGGGTAGGTACCCCCATGAGTCATCGGGTGGACCACCAGAGGTCACTGGGTGAGTCTCCCCAGAAGAACCGTCAGGTACGCTGGGACAACGACAAGTCAGAGGCTGCAGAATTCCATAACACACAATACAATGTAAATTTGTTTGACTTCTGACACGTTACTATGAATAATCATCTCATTCGAGACGGAAAAGAAATATTTAATGCTGTTTGAGACCGCAGTGAATGCTGTCTGGCCGTCTCTAGACGATGTTATGGGAAGATATCCACGCTAGAGGGAATTCCTGTGTATACGAAAAGTATTCGACCCAATGCTCAGCAGATAAAATTTTCATTGTTGTGCTTGAGATTCTGGTAGACTGTTGCCTTTTGTCGAGAGTAACTTGAATATGCTGCACGATAGAGCGTAAAATTTGACATTTGTTTCATATTTTTTTTACATGGAATTTGTAGGCTTTTTAAATTATTCAAAATATTCACGGAGTTGAGCTCCAGCTCTTTGGTTTTGCTTTGCCCATCGATTAACTTATGTGGCATATTCCCTGGCATTTTGAGTTGGCATCCACTTTGTTCCTACCTAATGTGTTCCATTTGTTCTCTACCCTCGCACTGAAAGAAATTTTGTGTGTGTGTGTGTGTGTGTGTGTGTGTGTGTGTGTGTGTGTGTGTGTGTGTGTGTGTGTGTGTGTTTGTGTGTGTTTGTGTGTGTGTGTGTCTCGTTCGAATAATTTATAGTTGTGTTCCCTTGCTCAATGTTTTGTTTACTCATCTGTACTCACCTAGTTGTGGCTGCAGGGGTTGAGTCTGGGTTCTTGGCTCCATCTCTTACTCACGAATGGTAACTCACAATAGCTGGACTTGTGCGCTGTTATAACTACTTTCACAGTTATGTATGGAATCCACTACTACCACTTCCTCATCCATATAGTCTCACTTCCTAACTAACGTCAGTATGAAAAAAGTACCATCTAAAATTTCCTGTGTATGGGTTATTTGTGTATGGGTAACTTACATCTGTTCTTCCCTCTTTCAGGACACCTTTCACTCTGCCTCTGTTCTATCAGTACGCCTGAGTATCTTGCACATCGTAATCATAGCTTCCCTGGTTGTACCGTCTTTCTCTTGCAAACTTTAGTTCCTTTTGTGTACTCGCTTTCGCTACGCTACAGATTTCAAGGCTGAGAAGTTCTCCTAGGTAGCCACGTGTTGTGTACATCTTACCCATATTAACACATGATGAACTCTGCAGCTGAGTATGTCTGGACTACGCCTGGCCCTGCACCACAGCCCTCCACACTCCCAAGTCTTTCTATTCACCGACGCCTCTATCAAGGATCCTGAACTCTTCGCTACAGTCATCACTCTAGCACTATCAAAATCAATCAAGGTGAGGGACATTTATTTTTATTAAATTCTAGCTCAAATGCAGTTCACAGAGCGAATTTGATTGAGCATATGTGTATATTTTTGTATTATATAAAACCAGTTTTGCTAATTAAATATGCTGCAATCACTCTAGCAATCTGGGATCGTATTTGCTTGGACATCCTCCTTATCTCTGCAACTTTGCAAGCTGCTGATGTGTAGATTGCAACACGAAAGGCCAAGGGCTATCATTCTATTCCTCCAGTGCTTGTTTTGCATCATGTATCGCTTGGTTTGCAATACTTGTGCTATATTTTATATATATTATATATATATATATATAGATATATATATATATACTATATTCTATATTTATATATAAAAAATTTTTGATAAAAATTTATTTAGGTTAGTAGGTTGGTTAGACAGCAACCCGACAGAGGAGGTTACTACGTCCTGCCAAGTGATGTGGTAAAACTGAAAGGCCTGCTAATTGTTTACATGATGGTAGGATTGCTGGTGTCTTTTGTCTGTTCATTAAAATGCAAGATTACAGGTACGTCTTGTACTTTTCTTCACACTTAGGTCACACTACACATACATATACAAGCATATATATTATACACACACCCTCTGGTTTTCTTCTATTTTCTCTCTAGTTCTCTGTTCTAGTTTATTTCTCTTATATCAATGGGGTAATGGAATAGATTTCATACTGCGTATGCCATGAGTGTTGTAAGAGGCGGACTATAAATGCCAGGAACCAAGGGGGCTAGTAACCTTTCCTGTATTTATTACTGAATTTAAAAAGGCGATTTTTCGTTTTTTTTTGTTTGGGGGGGGGGGGGAAACCCACACCTCAGTGGGATATTGCTGGTGCGTTGAAAGTAAGAATTGGTGTGTGTGCGATCTGGCTTAAATAGCCACGCTCATCTTGCTTAGAAGGACAAGTGAAAATTTGTGTATGCAATAAGGTGCCAATTCATTCTGAACCTATCGTTAAATTATGTATTGTCACTGTGTTTGTGTAGTATTAATTTACTGTTTATTATTATTGCGTTATTTTTTTTTGTTGGGGATAGGGATTTTTGTATTTGAGAGGGTGATTTTGTAAGGTGTGGTAGGGGGAGTTGTTGTCGGGTGTTGCTATATTTAATATTGGTGGTCATTGTTTCTTTTGGGTAAATTTTGTTTGCGCGGTTTAGTAGAAGTGTTCATATGGGTGGGAGTTTGGACGGTTTGGGTTTGGAGTTCTTGCTAAGGGTCCTGGGTTTCTTTGTCAGGCACGTCTGTTCGAGTGTGTGTTTGTGTGTGGCGTGTGTGTGTGTGTGTGGTGGTGTGTAGTGTGGAGTGTGTGTGTGTGTGGTGTGAGAGTGTGTGTGTTGGTTGTGTGGGTGTAGTGTGTGTGTGTGTGACGTTCTTGAGAGTGAGTGTAGTGTGTGTGTGTGGTGTGTGTGTGTGGTGCGCTGTGTGTGGTTTGTTTGCTGTGTGTGTTTATTGTAGTTAGGGTCAGTGCCGTTTTGCGGATTATGTGGCGTTTGGGCATAGTTGGACACGGGTTATATGACGTTGGGTCTGGGGTTGGGTTGGGTTTTTGGTTGGGGGGTTAGGTTGTTACGGTGTTAAGTTCAGTAATGGTGGTGGTTATTGGGACATGGGGTTGGGTGAAGTTGAATTCGTTTGTGTGGGGTGTGTTTTGGTCTTGTTGGGTTGGGGTACTTGTTGGGGTTGTTGGTTAATGTATATTGGTTTTGTGGGGGTGAGGGAGGGGCAAATTGGGGGGGTGAGTTAGGAGGGGTGTTCTATTAGGGGACGAGGGCAATGTGGCGGTGTAGTTGTGCGGGGCGTGGGTTGATTTTTGGGATTGGAGGGTAAGTAGTGTGTAGTGTGTGTGTGGTGTGTGTGTGTGTGTGTGTGTGTGTGTGTGTGTGTGTGTGTTGTGTGTGTGTGGGCTGTGTGTGGGTGTGTGTGTGTGTGTGTGGTGTGATGTGTGTGTGTGTGTGTGTGTCGTTGTGTCAGTTGTCGTTGTGTGTGTGTTGTGTGTGTGTGTGTTGTGTGTGTGTGTGTTGGTGTGTGTGTGGTGTGTTGCTGTTGTGTATGTGTTGTGGGTGCTTTGTGTATCGTGTTGTGTAATGTGTTGTGTGTGTGTTGTGTATGTGTCGCTGTATGTGTGTTGTGTGTGTTGTGTTGTGTGTTGTGTGTGGTCAGCTGTAGTGTGAGTGTGTTTGTGTGTGTGTCTGTGTGTGTGTGTGACGTGCTGCTGTGTTGTGTGTGTGTGTGTTGGTGGGGGGGGGGGTTGTGTGTTGTGTGCGTGTTGGGTTGTGTGTAATGTGTTGTGTGTGTGTGTGTGTGTGTTAAGTGTTGTGTGTTCGTGTGTTTGTGTGTAGGGTGTTTGTGGGTTGGTGGTGTGGGTGTCGTGTGTGTGTGTGTGTGTGTGGCTGTGTGTGTGTGTCGTGTGTGTGTGTCGTGCTGTGTGTATTGTGTGTGTGTTGCGTGTGTGCTGTAAGTGTTGTTGGTGTGTGTGTGTGTGAGTGTTCGGTGTTGTGTTTGTGTGTGTGGTGTGTTGTGTGTGTGTGTGTGTTGTGTGTTGTGTGTGTTGGTGTTTGTTTGTGTGCAGTGTGTGTGTGTGTTTTATATATAGAAAATTATATTTATAATATATTTATATATATATAATTATAATTTATAGATATTTATATATATATATATTTAATATTATTATATAGATTATTTTTACGTTTATATATTGAATCTATAATAATATATATATATATAAATATATATATAATATATAGTGATACATATATATAATATATATATATATATTTATATTCATTTATATATACTATATATATATATCTATTATATATATCATATATTTATATATATAATATATTTACATATATATATATATAATTATATATTTTAATATATATATACTATATTTATACTATATATATATTATATATATATATATAATAACATTTATAATTTATATAATAATATATATAATATATATATATATATATCTTACATTATATTTATATTATATATATATATATATATAATGTTTATATTATATATATATTTATTATATTTATTATTATATATATTATATATGGTATTATATAATTTATATATATTATAATTTATATATATATACTATTTATATAGATAACGTATATATTTATTTATATATATATATATATATATATTATTATATATATATATTTATTATATATATTTATATATTTATATAACGTATATATTATTTATATATGTATTATTTAGATATTTATATATATATATATATATTTATATTATATTGAATATTTATATATATATATATATATATATTATATATTTATATATTATATTTAAACTATTTATATATATATATTTATATATATTATATTATATTTATAATATATACGTTATATTTTTATATATATATATATATATATATATTTATATATTTTTGTTAATTTTTTTATATATATGTATATATATATTATATATTCTATACTATCTAATATTTATATATAGACTTTTTGTTTTTCATATATAATATATATAATAATATATCCTAATTTATATATATAATATATATATATCATTATATTTAATATATAATTTATATTCTTATATTATTTCTTATTTATTTATAATGTATTATTATCTTTATATATATTATATAATTTTATATATCTATATATGTATTATATATATATATCATATATATATAATTATATTTATATATAGTTATTTTGATGGATATATATATATATATATATATATATTTATCGTATATATATATTTATTATTATATATATCTATATATATATAGTTATATAAATTAATGTATATTTTATATATATATATATATATATATCATATTTACTATATATTATTATATATTTTATAATATGTTTTATATATTATATATTTTATATAGGCTATATATATATATTAGTATATATTTATTATATTTTTAGTAAATATTTATTTTATAGTATATATTTTATATTTTTATATTATATATATTATATACTATTTTATTTAATATTATATATATTGTATTTTTATATTTTGATATATATATATTTATATTTTATGTTATATATTATTATACATATATATTATATTTTACTATTTGTATTTTTTCATCTCTATTTTATTTTGAATATATATTGGTTTATTTATATTATATGTATAATTATATATGTAGATATTTTTTGTATAGCTTATAATTTATACTAGTATATATATATTTATATATATTTATTTTTAGTATATTTATATTTTTTATATTATATTTATATATTTGTTATATATTTTCTTATTTATGTTATAATTTTATAGATATATTTATATATATATTTTGATATATATATATATTTTATATATTTTTATATTTATTTTTATATATACTAGATTTAATATATATGTTATAATTTTATATATAATTTATATTTTTATTTTATATACATTATTTATTATATATATTATTACTATATATTATATATAAAGTTTTACATATATTATATATGTATAATATATTAATATATATATAATATACATATTAATTTATATATAATATATATTTTTTATAATATATATATATATATATATTATATTATATTTATATATATATATTATAATATATATATATATGTATATATATAATTTATATATATGTGTATATATATAATTATAGACATATATATATATATGTATATTATATTTATTATATTATGATATATATATATATATATATATACATACATATATATATATATTATCATATTTATATTTATATATATATATTATATATAATATATTTAATAGATATATATGTTTATATAATTATATATATATTATATATATATATATAATATATACATACATAATATATAAATTATATATATATATATATATATATTATAATATTATATAATATATATTATAATATATATCATTATTATATGATAATATATAAAATATATTTATATATATAATATATATAATTATATATATATATTATAATTATATTATATATATATATAATATATATAATATATATATATATAATATATACATAATATATTATATATATATATACCTTAAATATATATATATATTAAAATATATACATAATATATATAATATATATATATATATATATATATATCATATATATATATAATATTATAATATATATTATATATACATTATATATATATTATATATACATAATATATATTTATATATAATAGAAAATGTTAAAAGCAGGTGGGATATAGTTTTGGGAGTGGTTGGTGCAATTATTTAATAAATGTATGGAAGAGGTAGGTACTAGGATTGGCAGAGCATGCATAGTTTCCTTTGTATTAAAGGCAAAGGGGATAAAAGAGAGGTGCAAAAATTATAGGGGGATAAAGTCAGCTGATTATACATGGGTTTAAAGTGTATGGTAGAAGCTTTTATTGAAAGAATTAAGAGTAAGGCGGAGATAGGATAGCAGATGTACAAGGAGGCTTTAGGAAAGTAGGGGGTGTGTGGACCAGGTGTTTACAGTGAAAACATATAAGTGAACAGTATTAAGGATAAGGCTAAAGAGTCTTTGTGGCATTTATGGATTTGGAAAAGGGTATGGACAGGGGGATAGGGGGGCAATGTGCAGATGTTGCAAGGTATTGTGTAGGAGGTAGGTTACTGAAAGCAGTGAAGGAGTTTTTACGAGGATGTGAGCTCAAGTAGAGGTATGTAGGAAAGAGGGAAATTATTTCCCAGTTAAAAGTACGCCTTAGACAAG